GTTACAGTTAGTCTAGTATAAATAACATATATTAACTAGTAGACTCTAAAATTAGCCTGGCATACAACTAATGTTAACTTCTGACCAGATGAAGCCATGTACTCAGAGCAAAACTAAAAATCAACCTGACAGTAACATACAAAAATACCAGCTGTTAAACTTTATCTAGCATAGAATGGAATACTAAAGTACTAGCTGTTACAGTTAGCCTAGTACAGAATGACATACCAAAGTACTAGCTGTTACAGTTAGCCTAGTAGAGAATGACATACCAAAGTACAAGGTCACAAAAACCCAAAACATCCCCATCTGTTAATATGGAGACCAATTTGTCACACTATTTTTGCTCTATAACTCAATCAAAAATGATCAGATTTTGATGAAACTTGGTGGACTTGTGTAGAATATTATTCCTCATTGTCCTGCCACAAATGGTCCATATACATTGATAATGATGGAGACATGTTTGTATTTTGTGTGGTGGAAGTATGTGCTCTATTTAGTGCCCCTCTACTTTCATTATGAATGTGAACAGTTTTTTCTTATAACAAACATGTATTTCTGGTCGATGCATGATTCAAAATCCATACATGACACTATAGGTCAATCAGACCAGGAAACAAGGTGACAGTTACTGACCACAAATCACCTGCATTTACAGTGAGTACCAGTTTACAACAATATTTCTAAGAACAGTCGTCATTCACAGTGGGTACTGGTTACGAAATTTGTCTGAGGAAGATTTTCACAGTAGCAATGTATGTATAAAATGTAATAGGTATTGAGACGTCATGAGAGTGATATATGCTAGAATCAGGTCTAGTCATAGTACTCCAAAACGAAGATGCATTGAAATTTCAACATCATTAATAATAGGTGATATTTGTTTATACAAGAAGACAGTGCATGTATTGTATCTTTTACATTCTATAAGGAAGTGATTGTTTTGAATAAAGCAATGATTTATGTGACGATAATAACATAATATGCCACTTTTATTATGAAATTTCTACAATTTTTGACAATGTACAGTAATAAACTACTAAGTTTATTGTACGTGCAGTTTACGTTTACCAGTTGTGTGATCACCATTACTAGTTTGCACCCTTACATTTATTGTTTGATGAAACACTTATTAATAGTGTCCATTGAACTCAAAGTGATTGATTGAACTCTCCAAAGAAGTACTTCATTACAAATGTCAGATTATTAAGGTTTCAATGTATATATAAATATGTCAGATTATTAAGGTTTCAGTGTATATATAAATATGTCAGATTATTAAGGTTTCAGTGTATATATAAATATGTCAGATTATTGAGGTTTCAGTGTATATATAAATACGTCAGATTATTGAGGTTTCAGTGTATATATATATTTAGACAGAGAGAGACACACACAAACATATTCACGTAAATTACAGGAACCCCTTGTAAGTTGTTGGTATTGACAACATTTCAAACCTGATGCTGAGGCTGTCTTTAGGCCTGTCTGCAAACAACGTAACTGTCAAAACTCTCTTGAGTATCTTCATTGAACAAACAATCCTTACAAAAACACTGCTACATTTATTTTTGAAAAAAAATTCATAAATGAAATTGTGCAGTATAAACTTCATAAAATAATATGTATTTTGCAAACTACCTACAGAGGGAAAATAATCACTAAAATAGAATTGAGGAAATTATTGATAAATTTTTTTAATTTGTGTTTGTGGGTGTTGGGTATTTCTCACATTA